AAGCACTAGCTGAAAATACAGTTTGTTATAGTTTGAACAGGTTTTTTTTGACGATTGTATCGAAATCGTCTCAAAATTTTCGTATTGTTTAAATAAATAGAAAATGTCGAATAGATTCGTCGAATGGATGAATGAAATGAATTTAATTTTGAGATTGGAAATGGAAAGCCGCAAGCGTCCATCTAGTGAATTTTTCAAGGGAGCTCGTAAAAGTGCTAGAGGAACGTACAGTAACGCCTCTTCATGGTCTTCATTGCGTAGTAGTAGTAAGTAATTTCATTTATGGCAGCGTTATCAGTTCAAATTTTTGAAAATTGAATCAATCCGAAGTTGTTTAGTGATTGTAGCCGAACAAATCTAATTCATATCAAGGACTATGAATTGTAAGCTGAATACGTTGCAAGTGCATTGTCGCTATTGTTGATTATATGATAATTTTTGTTATTCTTCATAAAATACAATGTTTCTTTAAACAAATTGTTCTGATGAACAGTTCTCGTTTCAAGCCAAAAATTAATATTCTTCTCTCAGTTATGATAGGTGGTAATAACTTGAGTTCTATGAACAAATGTATACACTGCTCATGAGCTCCTCAATAAGCAGTGAAATATTTACATGATCGAAATGGTATATTAGTGATTTGTTCATATCCGTAATGCTTTAACAGATTCAACGTTTCTTGGCAGTGGCACGGGAGCAGGCGTTCGTCCATACCGATCGCCGAGAGGAGGCATTGGTCTGTACGGACCTTCGAGAGGAGGTATAGATCCGTACGGATATATGGGAGAAGGCGTTCACCCATACGATTCTCTGAGAGGAAGCGTCAGTTCATATGGATCTCCGAGAGGAGGTTATGTTGATCCATATGAGTCCTTGAGAGGAGGCGTTGAACCATACGGATCTTCCAGAGGTGGCATTGATTCATATGGATCTCCGAGAGGAGGCATCGGTCCATACGGATTTTCCAGAAGAGGCGTTGATCCATACGCACCTCCTAGACGAGACTTTGATTCATACGGAGCTCCTAGACAAGGCATTGATTCATACGGTTCTCCGAGAGGAGCACGAAATTATGACCACCGAAATCGGCTTTCGCCATCATCATTTTCTGAGTATGGTGACATGACGGCGATGAACGTGCATAATTATGGTAATAATGACTCAGATGAATATTGGAGTAACACACCAAATGCATATACACCATCATATGTCCAGTCCGCCTAAGGATTCAATCAAAGTAACGATGGCAGTATCTGGAATTCGCACGGTTGGCGTTCATTTCGGAAAAAAAATTCAGATGATAACCGTGCTGTCGACTTTAAGTCCTGTAAATTCGATTTATGTTGATCATTGATGTTCTCCATTTGCTACCAATGTCATGAATCTTTTTTTTGTTTGGGATGCGCCTATATGTGTTTTGAATAACAAATAAATAATTTTTAAGTGAAGAATAAATCAAGGAAAATTGAATAAAATGAACGGTTGTTAGTAATCAGCAAAGATGAAACACACTCTATAGAAGCGCATCTCAAAATACAATCTTCATTGAATAAGAACTTTAAAAAAATCATTGTTACTTCTTTGATTTTTAGTGAAAGAATTTTTTTAATCTGCCAAATATCCATGTCCATTTATCAAGCATTAAGGTTGCATTCTGTCATTTTATTTAACTAATAATTGATAGTGGATAGTGCTGAATTGAAATGTAATTGTAACTTTTCCTCGATTATATCAGTTTTTTTTTTCATTTTCCCTTCTTTTTTGTTTTCCAAATAACATATCTGTTCTGCCAACAAGGTAATTCGATGTTACTCATATTACCTCTTATTGTTATCATCAGTTAGCCAGCTGAAGTAAATTTTCCCTTCTTTTTTTGTGTCTCAATAGCGTATCTGTTCTGCCAAGATAGTTACATTATCGAATTGGATTTATTGCGTTCAAGAATAATGGTGAAACAATGCGATAATGTATAGCTTCAACAAAAAGCATATTGATATCATTAATGTATTTTCGCAGCTGCAGCCGTTATAGTAATGTTTCATTTGCAGATTATTCTCTTGGAACAGAGTAGTGCTATCGTTTCATATGTAACTAATTAGTGGTGTTTGATTGAGAATATTTGTTGTTTTGTTTGACGTTGTTATTCTCAACATTTATGAAATTTCATTGCAAAACGATCTCTATTTGTGGTACCTATCGCTGTGTTTCGTTTTTATTTGTTTGATGCTCTCCATTTATTGTTTGCCGATGACAATGAATGTAATTAGGATTTTAGTGTTTTATTTTCGATGCACTTTGGAGTTTGGCACCATGCGAGTCAATTCTTTCATCAATCAAAATGCCTCACGAGTGTCTCATCCCATTGTTGTCATTTTGTTGTTATTGTTCTTGGATGGTTTACTTTGATTTCAATACGGAAGTCGTTGAAAGTGACAAATGAATAAAATTTATCTCTTATTTAGTTTAGTTTGTTCTCGGACTTACGTATGTATCAATACAGAGTTTGTGATCATAAAACTAGAGCATAGCATCACGCTTAACAACTGACTGCACTTGAAATAACATATTGAAATGATAGCACATTGGGATTCATTAGCATTGATTAGGCATGTCGCGATAAGTGGCGATGAATGACATTTCGGCCAAAGCTGGGCACCGAGCATGAAGTATTTGTGAGACATGTAGATGGTTGTGTCTATTAAAGTTGAACAAGTTGAACTGTCTATTAAACTACTAGGTGGTTCTCCGTTGTGAGTCTCAACCTAAACCCAAATATAAGTTGTTTCCATATTTCACTGTGCTATTGCCAGCTTCTCGTTATTATTGCCTATTCAAATCAGTCAAAATTAACGATGCATTTTATTGACTGCAGTTTTTTCCAGATTGAATAGGGACTGTATTTTCACATTAAGTTGGCATCAAATATCAGTTGCCTTAAAAACTGATCGATTAGCATTCGTTATTTTTTTGCTGCCCATTCTCTGATTTTTTGAGTCGCCCTGGTGATTTACAAAGAAGTCGCATTCTCAGCACGCTAGAGTTGTATCGTGAAAACATCGCAAAGTATCTTATAGTAAAGGAGAGCAAATCCCTAGAGTTTACAAGTGAACGTCATGATATGAATATGAAGGCGTGATAATCTTTTAAGAATGGTCCAATGAAACCTTTTAAGTTAGAGCGAATTAGCGCAAATTCTATTGCAGAGTTTTCGATTGCAAACTATTGCAAATACTATTGCAATGAAACAATCGAAAAGCGTGACTTTGCTGTCAAGAAGCCAATCATAAACATATAGCCAACCTGAAGGCTCCTGCCACTTATTATTATTGACAGAAGAAATTCAATAACTAATTGTAGGTCGAACAATGTGTCGAACAATTGAGAAATTACCACCAAATAATTTTCATACTAATTTGATGATGGGCTTTTAATGTCAGTCAGTTGGAGTAATCACTAGTGATTTGAAGTTTGCTAATGAACATTCACATTTCGAATAAAAGCCGCAAAATGATGCACGTAATGCCATTTCGGCTAGTCTTTTGCATCTCAGTCTGTTCATTTCTCCTTGAATTGCACAATGGTATCCAAACTGACTAAAAATAATTTCGATATCAACATAATCATATTTCTCACATAAGCAATAATGGCAGTAATAGTTATGACGTTTGGAGGTTAAAATACGGGTGAAGAAGGAATTGAGTAAATAGAACAATAGGATGCTGTTTGTGAAAGTAAATATGAAGAATAAAGTACTGTAAACACTCGAAAAATTTAACATATTTATCGCATAATGGCGTGTTGATGTGGAACGAATTCTTGAATAATTCCTTAAATATTTCATTTCTATTGCGTTGTAATCCCCGAATAGATCAGCATATTTCTCAACCATTATTTTTATCAACATTATCTATTTGTTTGTTCATCACATTGCATTCATGAAATTGATTCTGTTAATCTGCTGAATTATTCATTTGTTTATACTTGTATATTTATCCAACAGCCCTCTAACCGGGATATTTTGTCGAGTACTATTGGCTTTGTGCTCACCTTCAAAACTGAGTATGTACTTCTGGAATTGTTCTGTTTTATCCATTTCATTTGCTCAAATTCACGATTCAGTGCACTTAATGCATTAGTATTGATTCATTGAGTTGAATAAGAGAATTGAACAGATATTATCAATCATAAATATCATTTGTGTTTGTCGATGTAAGTGGATGAAATCAGTGGAATATCAGTTATTAGAATGTATCTGTGAATATGCGTGTGTTTAATGCTTACTCTCTTTAGATTTATGCATATCAAAAAGTTCATCTAACACGCATTCCTTGCTAATGTAATAAAGATAAATTGTTCGTACGGCTCTACATGAGTTCATTGTCATTCTTGAAAAGAAGCCTGAAAAATAATGCTTATCAGCAGTGAAACTGAAAACATACAATGCAAAAATAAGAGGTTCATTGGCTAGAGAGATGTATATGCATGTAGCGGTTAGTTATGAGCAGCAAAAAAGATTTTATAAACCTCTAAGAATATAAGGAAGATAACATCAATAAGAATAAGCCTTGAAGCGCAGAGGTGAGAACTGATGTTAGATCGATAATAACGACCACTCTGCGTTCATATACGGACTTAGTTGACTTTCGAAATGAATTGTTCGCTAAAAACTGATTACAACGAATAACAATCGTTGGTGTTGCTGATTGATATTGCCATGGGGAATGTCATTTCCGCGTTCGGTTTCAATCAGCCGTTTCTGATCGCACTTTTAGGGTTACTTTGCACATTTGTTCATTTTTGATTATTATCATTCAATGTCACCTTTCTCAATCATCTTCATTATCAGACTCACACACGAGTTTATATAACTGAGATATTCAACTGATTGCAGTATTATTTTGATGCTTGCGTTGACGGTCGTTATGGTGAGTGGTGATGATGGACAACCGTACGATGTTTACCAATCTCAATCACAAACATCGAATTTGGTGGGCAAATATTCTTTTTTTTTATTCATCACGGTTTTTGTTTGGTTAATTTGTGAACTATTTGATGATCACTCCTCGGATTGTCGGTGTGTTCATTTTTATATTGGTTAATTTTTGCACAACATATGATTACTAGAAAATGACAATATTGCATAAATGTATGAGATATAAAATGTTCATGCTTTTTAGCAATATGAGATATGAAACCTTCGCACTTATTAAAATGTATTGAGTCACTAGCAGTAGGGAAAAGTCGGTGAATCGATTCTACAGAATATAACTTCACGAGTCATTCAATGAGATAAGAGATATGCATTAGAGAGTTGTGAATCTTATTGATTGTGTAATCTGATTAGGTAACGTTGGATGTATGCAACAAATGGACACTGAGATTGTAATGGATTGGAATATGTTAGCAATCTGAAATGTAGATTGTAATGGAATATGGGTTAGTGTTCGTTTATATAATATGACGAATGAAGTTAAACGGATTCGAATATTTCAGAGACGTGTATCGGTGCGGAATCCGTTAAGTGTGGACGATATAAGGCACGGAGTGTTAACTGCTTCAAGAAAGGGTATTTGAAGGTAGCATCACTGATGAAAGTAACGCTTGTATAATAAATGCTATGAGATATATTGTATTTATTGACAATATGACTGTGCTAAAGATGAAGCAAAAAGAGCTGTGCGGCGACACACACATACGAATAAATATATAATCCAAACACACTGTTTACTTGAGCATTCTCATCAACGCATTTACTTTATTCTACTTTGCTAGCTTATTATACTCATAGTCAGTTCGTATTGTACATACTCGCTGTTCCTCACCACTTCATCCATTAGTATTATTTATCTGTATAAATAGCATTATCATTATTATATGATTAATTGCTTTCTTTTCGTTTTAATATCGTATCATTATCATTTGCTTTATCTTCCAATCAACTTATTCACGCATATTTTGCTATCGTCTCATATCAGTTCTTTGGAGTATTGTAATTATCATTCTGACTGTTCTATTCAAAATACCACCCATACCAATCATACTGTTATTTGCATTATCTGTGATACTCATCACAGCAATAATATTAGCAATAATACGAACAACACGAATAAAAATTTCATCACCGATGACTTCTGCAACCAATACTCCGGCAGTAGATTTTTCGATAAACTCGAACGATTTACAAAAGCAAATTGCTAAAAATCAGAAGCAGTTACAAAAGCAAC